TTTTTTTTTTTTTTTTTTGCTTGGGTAGGGGTGTGGAGAAGAGAAGCTGTCACACTTCCATCTTCCGTTATTGTTAGTCCGCAGCCTGGATTCCCAAGCATCACTGGTCCAAAGAGAAAAATATTAGAGCAAACAATTGCACAATTAAAGATGCCTAAAATGAACTGTATTTATTGTTGTTTTCTTTCCCCCCTATGTTAAAGTTGATTACAGGCAGCTTCAATCTGCTAAGACTATAGCTTGCCTTTTACAGCCTGTCCCTCAAAGACTCCTTGTTAAAGTGCTTGCCCCAGATTCATTAACAATACTCTCCTCTCCAGTTTTAAATTGGGGGAAAACGCATTTCCGAGATTATGACAATCCAAAAACGTACCTCCTCATGCATTATTTTTGCATTTGGTGCGGGCACAGTGAAGAGTGGGGAAAAGCTACCTATTCGCTCTCCAAACAAAAAGAAATGAGGGTATAGGCCAGTAGGGAAAGAGCAGCAGTGGACCTGAATGAGATGTTGAAAAAAGTTTTTATGTGACTTGTCTGTCCTTGCAGAGGCATAGGAGTTGGGTAGAAAGCCGGGGTCTCACTGCAGGGCTCTGGCAAAGGGGTGGACCTGCGGGAGAGGAGGCTGGGGACCAAAGAGGGGCGCAGAGAACACCTACCGACTTGCAGCACGTTCTCCACGGAGCCGCTGTCCAGCAGACGGATGCCCCGGCGGAAGGGCAGCCCCTCGCCGCCGCCGCCGCCGACCGCACTGGCTCCTGCGCTCAGTCCTGGGGACGTCCCAACCACAGCGGCGGTCCCGGGGGCGGAGCCGGTCGGAGCTGTGGCCCCGGGGGGCGGTGGCAGCCCCTCCTCGGCCGGCGAAGTCCCCACTGCGCCGCCAGCAGCGCCGGCCCCGGAGCTGCCCCGGTACTGGAAGCTGGAGTACATGCAGATCTCCCGCTCATTCCGCGGGAAGGACCAGTAGACGATGCGGCGCTGCACCGGCTCCGGGATCCGCTCGAAGCGCTCCTCCACCCGCTCGTACGCCCACTTTTCCGCCACCGTCTTGGCGGCGCAGTCCAGCAAGGACTCGGGCTGCAGGTGGGGGCGGGCCCCGGGGGCTAGGCAGCTACCGCCGACGCCCCCTGCCCCGCCGCTGACCGTCCCAGGCAAACCGCGAGGGTGGTGAGCCTGCGGGCTGGGCCACGAGCACAGCCTCTTAGCCGGGGAGACCGGCGGCGGCGAGAGCAGCTCCTCTCGCTCACCTCCTTCCGCCATTGCTGGGGACTGACTGACTGACTGACTGAGGCGGCAGCGGCACCACCGGCTGCAGCGGAGACCCTGGCCACGGCCACGCGCCCCGCGCAAGCGCCCAGCAGCGGCGCGGGGAAGCGGGGGCGGGGCGAGCGAACCCGCGAGCTGGCCGGCCCGAGTGGGGTGTTTGGGCCAGGCTGGTGTGCGCGCCGCTAGGGCCGACGGGGACGGCCTGAGGACGCGCGTAAGGCGGCCGCGCGCTCTGTCGGGCCGCTGCGGGCGCGAGCAAGCGAGGGCTTGGGGCGCGCGCCGGGCACAGACAGGCCATAACGCGCTCCAAGCGCTGAGCCAGGCGAGAGAGCACAGGGCAACCTCATCAGGCAGGACGCTTCCAAATGCACCTGCCGCTGGGCCAGCGAGAGGGGGTCTTTGTATACGGCTGAGTGAAATGGTGGACCTACGAGCCATTCTGGGACCCGACCCCCTTCGAGAAGTCATGAGCGTGGTGATCCAAGGAAAGAGAAAACTCAAAATCCTGTGGGAGACTGACATGACAGGAGGCTGACACGAGTGGATGATGGAGGGAAAGATGTAGGGAAGACGCTAGGAAACATTTGGAAAGTTCAAACGATGGAACTCTTGGCTTTGAGTGATGAAAACTTCATACTCCATAACAACATAAAATGAGGTCGGCGCTCCTCTCAGAGTGGTGCAAAAATCTTAGCAGCCCATGATGGGACAATGGGGCTCGGAGATCTCACCGCCACAGCTGCTGCGCCCTCATAGGGTTTTGAAGGGTTTAGCACCTTGCATCCTAGGAAACAAAACACTTTTTATGTAGGAGTTTGTGTGTGTGGGGGGGGCGGGGTTTGTTGGTTTTGTTTTTGGTTTTGTTTTTGCTGTGGGGGTGTTTGTTTGTTTTAGGGAGGGGAGGTTGTCGAATTCTCTGATCCACTGCCTCTTCAGAAGTAGATCCTTCCTGTTTTCCCCAATTGGCTCATCTTCTATACCATTATATTTCTTATTACATATACATGTTTGTATGTGTTGTCTGACTGCCAACTGACTAAGCTCCACAGCAAGGATCATAACTATTTTCTTTACTGTAATTTATTCAGTGTGGTGATTAAAACAAACAGTCTAAGACAGGAATGAAAAATCTAGTGATCTGCTTTAGTAAAAATTCTCAAACTCACTGTTGTGTAGTCAGAACTGACTCATAGTTAAACCTCCAGAGCTTTTCGGGTGGCAGTAAATCACACAGGAGGAGATGGGAATGCCCATCTTTCTTGGGGCTGCCGGTGAATTTGAACGGCCAGAGAGGTGCCACATTTAGGTTAGTAGTGCGGCTCTCTAAGGACTAGGCCACCAGATCTTCCTTTAGTAAAAGATTACAAAGGCAAGGGAAACCAAAAGAAAACTATTACATACTCTAACATGCAAAGTTTCCTTGTGAAATAAACTCAAAAGCAAGAGTTCTGGGGGTTTGTTGTCGGTTGGTTGTTTTGTTTGTTTTTTGTTTTGTTTTGTGTTGTGTTGTTCTTTGGGGTTTTGTTGCTAGGCTTATTTCCTTTTCTTTTTTTTTTAATCCTCTGCCTGGCACCTCCAGAATGGTAACTCCATAGCTGGTCCCTCTATATACCATGTTATGTTGTTTTAAGGGCCATTGAGTTGATTGCAATTCATAGCGATCCCGTGAACAACAGATCAAAACCTATCCAACTATGCCTCCCCCGCCCCATTATTCAGAGGGTTTTCGAGGACCTGTAATTTCAGAAGTGGATGGTCATTTCTCCTGCTTTATAGTCTATCTTTGTTGGGAAACTGTGCTGAAACGTGTCCACCACCGGTGACTGCTGGTATTTAAAATACTGGTGGCTTAGCTTCTAGCATCACAGCAACGCACAAGGTATCACAGTATGACAAACTGACAGACACGTGGTCAGAAACAATAGTTGTAAATTACAATTCCTTACTCAATCAAGAAAATTAAGATTATTCCGTTTTCCTAACAAACTAATCTCTACAATTTTAAAATGTTCAGTGACTAAATTAAGAGAGTTCCTTCAGCTTAGTTCTCCTTATGAAATGAATAAATTCTATAGTAAAGTAACAATAGGAAGAACATAAGTGACTGGAGACAGGCATCAAAGAAATTTGGCTTTACTAAAATCTCACAAAGGATCATACTTGCTCCTTATATGACGTTAATCTTAATTTCACCACTTGTACCACAACAAGATAAAGGTAAATAATCCAATAGAAAAATGGGCACAGGATATGAACAGGCACTTCACCGAAGACACATTCAGATGGCTAACAAGCACATGAAGAAATGCTCAAAATCCCTAGCCCTAAGAGAGA